AGTTGTATTCTTCATGGTGGCGCTTTCGCCTTCTGGGGGGACCCCCTCTGTCTCGTATGACTATCCTGTCGATGGCATTTCTGCCAGTTTGAGGGGACAAGGCACCATACACGACAGAGATGATTTACCAATCCGCCCCAGGCCCTCGACAGCGTCTCCATCATCAAGAGCACGATCGTTGCTTGCAGCGTTCGTTGTAGTTTCAGCTGTCGTATTTCTTGCTTACGCATGCAGCTTTTTTATCAGAAAAAGGGTAACTGCTTCGTCTTCTAGTCGTAGACTGGCAGACAGCTCGAGTGGGGATGAATGTGAGGAGTCAAGAGACTCAAGTAGCACAGCTTCCCCTGAAGAGGCTTCGCCAGAAACCCAACAGGCAACGAGCATGCAACTAACTCCTTCTGATGAACTTCTGCTTTCCGAATCAGAAACAGTGGAACCTACAACTTCAGCACGCTCAGCAGCCGCTGGGTATGGCAAAGTGATGCCGGGAGAAGAGTCCCCACCGTCAGAGGAACGAAGGAGTCCAACAGCTCTTAAGAGGAAAGGGGAAGAACAACCCACCCCGCGTATGGGAGCAAAGCCCCCCAGACTTGAGATACCAATTGTGGAGGCGGCATCGCCGCCACCTCCCCCCCCTCTAGACCCTGATCTCGATGAGTTTATTGAGAAGATGTTGCGTGAAGCTGAAGGAGCCCTTTCCCCAGATAATTGGATTTCTGAAGAAGGCACGAGAGTCACCACGATGGATTGGGGCCCTGATTTCGAGCCCCCGGCACTGGAAGGTGACCCTCAGATGTCAGGCGCAGCCGCAGCCTCGGGGGGGCCAGCGTATGAACTGCCCCCGACGACTAGTACGTTGCCAAGCGAAGTTGAAGAGCCCAAAGAAGAGAGTGTCAGTGCAGCACTGTCACCCGCTGGCAGTTCAGGCAGCCAGATGCAGCAAGGATCGCCCCACGAAGTTGAATCCCCGCCCAGTTCAGGCACCCAGATGCAGCAAGGATCGCCTCACGAAGTTGAATCCCCGCCCAGTTCAGGCACCCAGATGCAGCAAGGATCGCCTCACGAAGTTGAATCCCCGCCCAGTGGGCCTTTCCCCGATGCAGCCGAGGTGCGTGCAGGAGTCAAGAGTGTACAGCTAGCTGCAGCAACACACCCAGTGAGCTGTCATTGTTTGCAGTTTCTACTGCTCTCTCCAGAGTATGACAACCGATTGGCTGCAGCCCATCGAATGCGTGCTGTGTTGTGTACCAGCAGACGGCGACAGGGTCAC